CTCTCTCTCTCTCTCTCTCTCTCTCTCTCTCTCTCTCTCTCTCTGACCCCCTCTCCCTGCCCCCTCCGGGCGTCTGGAGAGAGCAGTGAAATGAAGAAGACGGATGCCAGCAAAAAAGATGGCCGTCTCCTGGAACCCTCGCCGGCGGGATCAACACAGGAACCCAGACCGGTGATCTGTACTCCCCCATTCCCTCTATCTCCCTCTTTTCCTTTTTCTATTAAGAAATGCAAAGCATATTATATTGCTCACCACAACTTGCTCTGTACTTAGCCAATTATCATGTGTTCAATTAGTACATTGTAGGTAGTTAATAAATGCTTGAACTTGGAGATGACTTGTCCGCTCCAATTGGGGATTTACGAATCTGAGTTACTTGTCCCCTTTGTCTGAGCGGGACGTGACAGCCGAGGATGAAAAATCCATGCAGGACCCGAAGTGACTAGTATGTCGGAGCAGGAGGAGGTGTGAGTGGCAGGAGAGAACATCCGTGCCATGTGTTGGGGTGGGAGGAGCGGGTGGGATACAGGGGCGGGAGAGCACTGTAAATGACTACCTAACTGCTGAAGTACTTACCACAGAGCTGGTGCTCTGCAATACAGCTCTTCATTAAAATTCGCTGAGCAAAATTACTCAGCTGTGGTACCCAGAGGCCCATAGCGACACCGCAGGTGTATGCATTGGTGCATGTGCCAGTTGCAGCTGTGCCTGCATTAGAGGGGGATGAGTGTGATGTTTGCTTGGTGCCTTTTGTGAGTCAAAGGAGACAGCAGCGCACGCAGGCGCTTTCAACCAGAGGCGGTGGTGAGAGGCAACCCTGGTCACAGCTTTAAACACAGCACCCCTCACTTTCCTCCTACCCCTGAGGTTCCCCATCACTGAAGGTGTCTTGCTCCCCCGCAGCGGGGACAGCAGGGCCCTCAGCCTCTGTGTGAGCCCACATGGCTCGTCCTTGCCCCAAGACCAATTCCCCGTAAGGGTCTTCAACCCCAGCCACCCTCCCTGTGCTACTCCAGCAGCCAACCCTACCTCTGCAGTGGGCCCTGTTAGCTCTGTGGGTGGGGAAGATCTACTGGTCACATGGTGTTCACTTGGAGCCTGTCTGTTGTTCCTGCTGCCTGGGGTTGGCCTCTGCCTGGTTTGTTGGTTTTGTGAGCCCTCACTGGGCCTTTGAGTGCAGCTCCGGCCTTACAGGGCAGCAATCCTGATGCTTTTTGGCTAAGCACCAAATCGGAACTGAACACATTTTGTGTAACCCTCAGGTCTTTGCTGCTGATCACTGCCTTGAGGGACATATTTTAAATTCCTGCACTGGAGGCTTGGCAGATGCAGAGCCTCTGCCACAGATTGAGTTGAACAGTCTGTAAAGGCATTAAGATGCACACTTCGAAGAAGAAATGGAGCTGGGCCGTGACAGACAGTGAAGGGATCTGAGCTGACAGCAAGTGGAGAACCAAGAGTCAGCTGCTTGTTGAGACCAGAAGCAGGGAGTGGCTGGACGATGGCTGTTTGTGACTTGACTGTCACTCACAGGCAACACAGCAACATTGCAGGTAGTATTTACTGCCTTTCCACCCAATCTCACATAAAAATACTAATGGAAAAGTATTGTTTAAAAGCTGATCCCCAGGGACCAGGAAATTGCCAGCTGCTTACTGTGTCGGACAGTGTTCCTGACCCAGGGCTCACCTGGCTGCTTCCCCCTGCAGGGAGTGGAGGCAGGCAACAGCAGCTGTGACTGACCTGCCCCTCCTACCCCGAGGTAGGAGCTGCTTTGTGATCCCAAGAGCTGTGGGAAATCAGAGCTCTACTTTTAAGAGCCCTTTTCTATGAGTAAATGTTTACATCAGTAGGACAGTGGGACCTTTTTTTTTTTTTTTTTTTTCTTTTCTTTCTTCTCCTTTAACAGCACAACCTTCAAAGGTCACTGCAGCCTCTTACTGTGCTGCCCTATGTCCTTCCAGCTTGAGCTGCCAACCACAACCCTAGCAGCTCCGTCCAGGTCCTCTCCCCAGCACAGCAAGGTCAGGGACCAGAAAAGGCAACAACTGGGAGACCTACAGGCAGGACCCAGAGAACTGACAGTTCTCTCTGGCAGCTGCATACAGTTAAAAGGCCTCTTTCAGCATTTCTCTGTGGGTCTGACTGGGGGGAAAAAAAGAGGAAGGTGTGCTCTACACAAGGGATTTGTGGTAGAACCTCCCCCTTTTTCATACCCTGCTTCCAGGTTTTTCCAAGTTCTGTGGCTTCTGCCTTTTACTCTCCAGGTTTTCAGGCTTAGCTGGAGAGGGACTTACTTGGTGGGGGGATGGAAGTGGGAGGTGGTTGTGATACATGCCTCTTGCAAGAATAGAAAGAAACCTGCTGCTCAGTCACTAAGGGGTGCCTAGAGAGGAAATGACTCCTCCCACCAGGACCACCAGAACTACCACACTGAATGCAAGCTTTTGCTTCCTTTACCATTCCTTTTCTGAAATCCAGTAACAGACTCACCCCTGCTCACTCCTCCCAGTTCAGCCCACTGGGGCTACCGGTCATAACCCTGCAGGGGTGAGATCTGTCAGCAGCCCCCTCTGCCCTTGGAGCACGAGCCACCCCTGCAAGGTCCAACCAGTGCCTGGCCAGGCACCACTGCTTAGCGCTCCCCAGGGCGACACCAACTTGCTTTCTTTGTCAGGGTCTTGTGCTGTGCTGCCAGGTCAGGTTACTGCTCTGCCCCTTCTTTTTTTTTTTTTTTTTTACTTCCTTCTGTTATCTTGTAGATGTATCAGTGCACTTTGCTCTGAGGCTGTAGCACATCTTTCCAGACATACACATACCATTGTGTGTATGGCAAAGCAGGGTAGCTTCATACCAGCACAAACTGCAATTACAGCAGTGCTTGAGCAGAGTGGTTACTATATTTTATGATAAAACTAAGGGTCTAAACTAGGTGCAGTATGTATACTCGTATTCTAAATATGCAATTTGAGAAACTCATGACTTTCAAGTATGACTGTGTTCAGGCATCACTTCAGAGTCAGTCCACCATCTTTTGGTCAGTGACTTGAAGCAAGTTTTAGCAAGTCCCAAGAAACTGTTATCATCACAAATTAATTAACCACATGCCCTTGAGGTAAGGGCTGAGCATTAACTCCATGTAGGCATGTCAGTAAATCAAGTAAGTACTCTGATTTCTCTAGTTTGGCAGCTTGTCAAATGAGTTGGGTCCAAGAGGCAGCTTTTACCATACTGCCTTCTAGTTAGGCAGTTTATTGGTTCTCAGCTAAGTTGCACAACATACTTCATGGTGTTATACCTGGCTTCTATCCTTGAAAAGCAACAGAGTGGGGGGCTGAGACTTTTTTAATCCCTGCACTAAAGTGCCCTGTTTATAACTCCTGATTTCATTAGAAGCACAGCCAGTTGGGCATGCTGAGGCTGCTGCTGCAGGCTCAAATGCTTAATGGTGCTGTGAAAAACCAACATCATCTCTTGTGTTTTGTCCGAAGCCTCTTGCTAGAAGAATGACCATTTTCAGAGGTCAAACCCAGGTCCTTGAAGGGAGAGTAGCACCAGCAATCTACTTTCCTTTCCTGTCCGCCTCTGGGGTACAAGTTACTTGATTCTGGGTGTCCAGGATACACAAGTTCTCTTTGCTTTGTGACTTTCCAGAAGTTACAGCATTGCTTCATTTTTCTGCTTCTGTGAGAAGGCTGAAAGGGCAGCATCATGCTGTTGACTTTCTAGGAATCACCTAGAGCCGAACTGTTGCTGCTCAACATTACTTCAGCAAGGTGGCAACACTTCTGTAAAGAAAAGAGCCCACACTGGGCTCTTTTTTAAAGAGTTGTCTCCTGAGATGTCTGGAACTAAGCACAGATGACTCAGAATGTTAAAAACCCAGTAGTTTATTTCAAAGTATAAATTTCAGGCTTGTCAGACAAAACCCCACTACAGTTAACAGACAGACTAATCTACGGTACATATAAAAATGGGGAGAGCTTGCAACTGCCCAGTTTAAATTGGACATTAAGTCAGTCCTATGTGTTTTTTGTATTTACAAGTCCAGCTGCAAAACAGATCTGCGTTTCCTAACAAAGGATTTTGCACGTTTGACTCCCAGTAGCCAATAAATTACTAAAGCTGAACAGGACTCCCCAAACAGCTACTACCCAGTTATCTTTATTTACAGCTACACCCCATTAAATTAAGACAGCACTTCAAATCTATGTATGTATATATATATCATGAGAGGAAAAAAAAGAATGCTTAGCCTGCATAATGACAATGAGAAATAAAGATGCATTTTAACAGGTACTCAGAAATCATGAAAAGGAAAATTTGTTAATTGGCTCTCACAGCTATCATTTTTTTCTTTCTCCCCTCAGAAGGTGTGTGGAAGGAAATACAGATTTTGGTGGCAGGGCTGGCTCAGTGTCATTTGAACTCCTCTCCCTCCAGTGTTTTCATGCAATTCATACATACAACACCCCTACCCAAACCAACAAATTAAAAAAATATATATTTAATATATCAAGCTTCTGTTTAAAAAATCTGGATAGATATTTTTGACTAAATGAAAATACTCAAGAGTTCCTAAGAAGGCAGAATCACAGCTTGATTTTGTACAGTGTATGCAATACTCTAATACTGGGGAATGGCTGTTTGGGGAGCAGGAACAGATTTGAAGTGTCCCTACATATAATACAGATTCTAATTTATTGAACAGTTAAGACAAACAGCATAAAGCAAGGGCCGAAGTGACTATTTTTGTTACAGTACAAAATGATGCTCAGATCCTACTAATGGGCCCAATTGTGCTCCCACTGAAGGCACGAGGGGTTTTGCCATTTTTCAAAGGAAGCAGGGTAAGACCCCTTATTTTTACAGGGAAGACACCATGGGCCTTTCCAGCCTTGTGCTAAAACCCTTGTGATGGGTGAGTGTCTCAGTGCTTGTGCTCAGTGACCTAACATGGCCAAGGGTAGCACAAATAATTCAAAGGAGCAAAGTCCAAGAGCAAACTGCTACTCCTAGGGAAGCTGGTCTGAGCATGGAAATAAATATGGGCAGAGGGGAAACTGCCCCTGAAGATGCAGCACAGAAGCTATACCTACAGTCTGCCCCCTTCCTAGGGTTGTTTAAATCCAATAAAGCTTTTTTAGACATATACGGAAATAAAGGAGGCCCATGAAGCTGCAGCTAGGAGGAATGCAGTGGAAAGGAACAGCACTTCGCTGTCAGCAGTCCCGCAGCTTTACTCCTCTCCAACCAGAAACTGAACTAACTCAAATTACTTTCAACCGCAACATCCAGATGCCCTTGTATCACAGTGAGAAAACAAACCAAACCTAAACCAACCCAGGAAGATAATGAGGATGGAAAACACAGCTGTAGAATCAGTGCTGTTTGCTAAAACACAGGGAACTGGATCCAAGGTGGTACTGCTGAAATGTCATGTACCCAGTGGCAACAGCAAAACAACTTTATGCCAGGCCACTGAAAAGAAGATGGAAAAACTTGCATAAAGTGCAAAGAAACCAAAACTAAACCCTCCAACTTATAAGCCATATAGAGATTTTTAGCATATTTAGAAGTGAATTACTGGAAACCTCCAGCAACTAACATTTTTATGAAGAACCCCGTCTAGAAGCATAGTGTTAAGAGACCTGCACTGAATGTTCCAAAATATTTTGGTAATACTTTCAAATAAAGTCTCCTAAATTAAATCCATTATTTCTGAGTGTTTTCTGCTAGCAGAAGTATCGTTTCTCAGTAGTTTTATTGTTTCTGAAAGGTAAAGGATAATAAAATAACCAGCCATCCCACAACACAGGGAGAAATGCCATGAGTTAAGGAATTAAGCTGTACTCCTTTTTATTAGCGTAAGGGCCGAATACCCACTGCAGAGATCTGCTCCACCATGACAGAAATGGCATAGTTCTCTCTGTAGGTCAGTGATTTAAGGACCAGCTACCTTTAAGGTCTCCAAACAGAGCTAGGCATTCAAAAGTCAAGTCATGTTATCACATACTTTGCCACAGCTGCTTGCTTAAGAACCTGAAATTGGACATTTAACAGCTCTGCTGTGATGAAACAAGTCAGATTTCACCCACAGCTGCAAAAATCAACTGCACTCTTGTCATGCATAGGAAAAATGGATCTATTAAGTCAGAAGCCAGTTTTTACAATCAGTTCAGTTGAGAACTACATCTTTCTTTAGTAAATAAAGATGAGTCTTCTTTCTCTAAAGATACAGCCCACCCAACCTGCAAACACAATACCAGACCATCCCTAAATAATACCTCCATTGGAGGAAAGAAAAAAATTCTAACACAGGACTCTCACCTCCCACCTATCCCAAGCAAGACAAAGCTAAGAACAATTGTGACCTAAACATAAGCACAAACTGTAGAAAAGGTCATGTATAGTTTGGGCTGGAATTACAATTAAATAAGCAGCATAAGTTCTAGGTTGTATTCTAACATTTAACTTTCAACCTATAAAACCTCATTGTACTGATACGGCCAATGGCCCTTTGGTACCACCTCAAAGACACATTAAAACCCCCTCTTTCCCTTCTAAATCCACTGTTTGGTTCCAGGAATGAGACTGAAAAGTGCCAAAATAAAAGCCTTACATATACTTTCTTGTCTGGGTGTGTTACAATTTGGTTCTGTGAAAAACAAGTTTAACATGTCAACAACAGTGGGGCAGATGCACCAATTTCTTTTCTCAGCTCAGAAACATCATGAAAGCATCTTTAACCTTTGCAATTGCTCCCAACTTTTAGGCCAGTGTCTAAAATGGTTTCTAAACGGTTCTGGGTGTGTTCGCTTTCTGCAGAGGCAGGCAGGTGATGAGACAAAGAAGACTGGGAAGCCAACTTCTTATCTTTTTGTACTAACTGAACATCCAAACCGAGTGCAAACAGCTAGAAGCTTTCATGGTGTAGAGGTTTCTTTGGCTGAATTGCAGCATACAGCTTTCCCAAAAGAACAGGGAAAGGCTCTAGTGGAAAACACTGCCTGTATACTCTTTAATATTCTTGACAGGACAAAAACAACTACTCAAGAATTACAATGAGGAAAGGGTTGAATAATATTGCCGATAAAACAAATCCAGCATCAAGCAGATGTTACACTTCCTGGTCTCTACAGAAATAATGATTACTGCAGGCCAGGAAAATGAGAAGCAGTAATAAAGGCTGGAAGGGTGAAGGGAAAAATAACTCCAAACATATAAAAGAACACCACAAGGTATCTGGCTACATTTTATTTCTGAAATTATTCTTTAAGGCACAAAATAAATCTAAAAAATAGGGCTGGATGTATGGGGGGAGGGGCACAGAAATTATCTGGGCTAGAGGTGTGAATGCAGTCTCTACAATCCAGTTTCAGATCTGACCTGGGAATGCTCCGAGTGTGAGTGGGGGGAGGATGGTGAAAGTAGAGGAGCGTTTTTAGAAGAGATAGGAGGTAGCGGGGTGATTTATTTTTTCTCCCCCACCACCTCTAAGTTTACACACATATTAATTTCCCTGGCCAGATTCAAGTCCCTCCCCTCAGAGAGCTCATTACAGTTTGTAAAGTAAGACCAGACCACTCAATATTCCAGTACAAGAGTGAGGTCTTGAATCACCCTTCATAGCAGTCTGCCCACAGAGTGGTGGGGGTCAAGAGGCAAATCTGTTCTTGCCCTCATGTTGGTGCCTTGACAGATATTACAGGTGTGTATGTTTTGCATCACAGAAAACTGTAATTTATTATTTTGTTCCCACTCTGAAGCAAAATCCCAGGCACCCTGGGTGCCCTTGGATAAAGGATAGGTAGGTATCTAGGTGGAACAGCTGTCATGGAAGGGAAAATGAAATTTTTAAACTGCCCATGACGTGAGCTATCCAGAAAAAACAGGCTCTCTTGCTGCAGGTGAGACTTTATTTTTCTTTTGGTTCTGAATGCACGTAGTGTATCACACAACTGTCTAAAATAATCCTGCTGAGATTGGATTTAAAAATGAATTTCATGCATGGGATCAACCCCCCAAAACTGGGGTAATTCTTGATAGTAGGACAGGTTAAAGGCTCCCAAGATCTCTAGTTTAACTGCTCTGGGAAGAGATCACATCTGTGGACTGGGGGTCACAAAAGGGTCCAAAACGTCCATAGATGTCCTTAGCTCGGACTGCGAAGTAGTATTTGCTGCCAGACACAAACTGTGTAAGAGTGCATGCCATGGGCAGTGGGAGGGCCTTCACTTCCCCAATCTTCTTCCACTGGGAGGGCATAGTGGCACTCGGGTCCTCATGGTAGGCGTAGAGATGGTAACTGTCCACAGTGGCACAGCTCCGGTCCACCTCCATGACACTCCATGACAGCACAATACCATTCTGGCTCTGTACCCGTGCCAGCTTCAGCTGTGGCTTCTGAGGCAGAGAAGTGTTGGCAGCTTCAGGGGGCAGACGTGGTGGCTGTGGTGCCTCCGGGAGCGGGGCAGGATGTACAGGGCGTGGTGGCTCCTAAGCAACATAAGAGCGAAAAGAATGGTGAGCCACCTTGTTGGTAGTATATTTACCATTCCAGGACATCACAAGTGATGAGGCTGCGCAACAGTGAGTATGCAGGCAATGTATCTGGTTCAGTCGCAACAACAAAACCATGTGAAATGAGTCAAAGTAAACTCTCAAATACTTACAAAGAGGGGTTTGAGGTGATGCAGAAGTAATCACCCCCAACAGTGATAAGACAACCCTCTGAAATTTGGGAGTTGGCAACCCTGAGGATCTTGTCTGGACCTTGTTCTCCTACCTCAGTTTTACAAGCAGCTGTACTGAGAAATGGGTCATTCAATTCGTAGCCAAACCATGACTAAACTTTTCAGTGGCAGTTCTTCTGTACCCTAGACTCCACAAGTCACCTGCAGACAATTCATGCACCATTTTTCAACATGTGCTACTGGCGATCTGAAGAACTCCAGGATAAGCTAACAGATTGCATAACTTTTATCATTCTTGGCAGAAGTTGCTGTAGCTGATAGGGTGATGCTACACATGTAAACTGTCTGCGAAGTGTCTACAAGGCATTTCACTATTCTGCAGTTCAACACTAAGAAGCAATCTGAAAGACATTAATGCAGAGACAAGCCTGTAAATTGCATTAAGTGATTTCAAAAGGACTACTCACAGCATGCACTTGTGGTGGTCGATGATGCACTGTAAGCTGAGGTGTTCCAGATCCAAGAGTTAGTCCATTGTTCACAACATATGCAGTTGTTTGAGGCATTCGTACTGTCATACCTGTAAGAAGCACAGTGAATACTGTGAGTACGCAATCAGCTAAACAGAACACTGGAAAACCAACTCCTTGGTTCAGCTGGATGACACCAAACTTCAAACTGACAACATGCTCCTCAAACTGCCAGCAGACTGACGAAGTACTGCACAACAACAAAATCACCTCCCATCCCCTGAAGCTGTAGAAGTGAAAGAGAGCAAGTGCTTATGTATGCAGAGGGGACAGAATGATGTTTTAATAATTTGTGGCATGAAAGAAATGGGTGGGGAGGGAAAGTGTGGGTGCTACAGGGAGCTTAAGTATGAAAAGAAAAATTACATGACTTGGGGATTCAGAAAGGAGAAGATAAATGCTGCTGCAGCAGAATGATATCCATTCAGTATTCAAATACCAGAAGGCTGTGCAGTGGTTGGCACCAAAACCAAAAAAAGTAAGTCACTGTCCAAGAAGCTTGTCCTTCCTCACAGAACAGACACCACAACGGATGTTACTCACAGGTAACTTGTTACAACAGGATGTTACTGACATTCATTCCAACAGCAAACTGATCTGACTGGCAGTAATAAACTAGGTAATTTTATAGCTTTGTAAATAATATCCCAAACTCTTGCAAACTAACAAGTTTTCATTCCTTTTATATACATCTTGCTCTCGTAAGTAACATTTTGTCTGTTTACTACTGAAACATGTATGTTCTGTGAGCTCAAAGCTTTTGCTCATTGCTATGGGTTGCCCAGGGTGTTCCTCTATTTCTGTCTAGAAATGCATGATTTGGGAGAAACCCCACCACCCCCTAGTTCCACACTTTTAAGAGACTGAAGCATTCTAATACTCCAGAAGAGAAGCTCATAAAGTGACTCATGTAAGGAAACCACAGCTATTGTATGGTAATTTCTTCTCTATAGAAACAGTCATCAAGCTATAATCATAGGTGACAAGTGTCAGAAGCCTATGTAATCTGTAAATTGGAGGCAAGGACCTCAGAGTGCTAAATCTTAACACTTTTATTATGAAGTGTTGAACTCTAGGTAGCTGCTTCACATCATCTTCTCTTGTCACATCTAAGATGCTAATGAAGCTGTGCAAACTCCTGTAAGATAGACAGTGACCTGAACTGGCTATTTCTCACCCAGAGAATCCAATCAGATATGCTGTTTTTAACATGACTGTGATTCTATCTCAGGAAATTACAATAATCTGAAGAAAGATGGACAGAAATGCTTTAATATGATATAAGGTACATATTTAGCATTATTTCTAATTAGGCATACTACTTAGATGAGGTAGAAATGCAAAACTACAATTTGCAAAACACTGTGGATGTGTTCTCAAAGTTAAGCTTTCACAGACAGAAGTGCAAAGATCTTACGCCTGAAGCATCTGCTACTAACACTGAAGACTCTTTCAATGATAATATAAACCAATACACATCAGTAGCAGCTTTTCTGAAAGCCGTTTAACAAAGTCAGTGAAAAATGTAGAATGGACTAAAGGACGAAAACTCATGGCAGCTAAAAGGGATCAATAAACAAGACTGCTTTATTGTTAATAATACATGAAACCCGTCTACCCAGTATGCAAATATGAAGTCTTGAAATAACCTGTATTCTAACTAAATTGGTCTTTTAACTAACCATCTGGCTTCCTTGTCCTGAGGTACATCTTATGTGGCTTGTCAAAAACAGTACTGTATAATACACATACTTTTCAAGCCAGTGTAACAGAACTGCCTCTAACAGAATCACAGATAAGTCCAAGTTTGAACAGACCTCCAGAGATGATCTGGCCCAACCTTCTGTTGAAAGAATGCTCTTAGATTAGATTATTCAGGATCTGGTCAAGCTGAATCTTCATTATTTTGGTGGAAACCTGACTTGATTTCTGAGAATTTGTAAGCAGACAACTCAAGGATAAGCATTAATTTTATCACTGATCATCAGGTCAGAAGCACATTACACAGAGATCTGTTGCTGCATGACCTTGTGGAAAAAATGTATAAATTCCCTACCTTGTTGATTTGTCCTAGAAAAGGCCTTAAACCAGTGTATTACCTTTAATGTTATTCAACAACACATTAATTATCTTGCATGTCTAATGCTGAAAGGTATTCTGCAGATATTAACACTAGTGATGTGTATTTAATCGTAATAACTTCTATAAGAAGTGGTATATTCTGACAAATCCATGTATTTTATAATTTGGTACAAAAGAAGAAAACACTAATAAAAATTATTGATGTACGTGAATGCATGGTTAAGTACTTGAAACTCCTTCCAAAACAACAGGTGGATCATACACATCTAACTTGTAGCGTCAGAAGAACCCGAACTCAAATGCACATGGCACAAGAGTGTAAGAAGTTTAAGAAATGGGAACAAGTCTGAAAAGAACAGCAATTTCCTCACACCCTGACATTTTACAGAGATAGTTCAAGAACTGTCTGATCAACTTCTGTTTAGCTAGCAATGGTATGGTCTTACATGGCTCAAGCATACAGAGTTCCCAGTCTGTCCTATACAGATAATGTCTAAAAAAATTACTACCTGGATGTCAAAAAGTAGGCTCATGCTCAGTGAGTGCACTAGAAGAGAGAAATTTGTGTTTAACATAAGAGTGTTTAAAATAACCAGAGAGTAGAAATTGTGGGGAGCTAAAAGCCAGGCAATTAAGATTCACCATTTGCAACAAAATATAGACTATCATTTAACTTTAAGATCTTTATTTTTGAAATCTACTAGTCATTTCAAAAAATGAGTTTACTGTTATGGGAAGATTCCAGCTACATATCTGCAAAGTCAAGATGAACTTGCTGACATCTCTATTCAAGGAAACTCAAGCACACATCCATTTCTGATACATTTGGTTAGAAATTTAATCTGTCCCAGCCTAGAGAAAACAAGGAAATTTGCTAGGCACAGGACAACAGAGATTGTTAAGGAATTGCATTAGGATACCTGACATAAATATAACTTTTAGACAGGAAATCAAACACAATTTGTTACATACTTACATGTTTTGGTCTTACTCCATAATAACAAAATCGTCTCTAACTTTCTACAAAACAGTGGTGCTCATCACATTACGTTCTGCTGCCTTGTAAAGTATTGGACATGACATCCAGAGATGCCTAATTGGCGGAGCTAGTGCCTGAGATGACTTAAATCCAGTTTTTCCTCATTCACATATCTGCAGAGGGCATAATTTCTTAATAGCCTGAGATTTTCTCACATCTGTAAGCTGGGAAAAATCTCTAACCTCTACAATTTGGACTACTATTGTAAAAAAACCCAAACAACAAACCCAGAACAGAAAATCAAACCCCATATCCATCAGGTATCAATCTGTCTCATGCTAAAATGTGCATGGAAGAAAGCAGCCCCTACCTCCAGCCTGTGGGTTGACTGGCCTTAAACCTGGGCTTGGCATGGCAGCTCCTCTTACAGGATTCTGCGCTGGTGGTGCAGGAAGAGGGGTATAGACCACCTGATGGTTAGGAGGGGCTCTTGGTATAGGAAGTTTTGCAGGAGTTTGAGTCGCTGGACGTTGAGTTACATTCACTGTTGTCGGAGCTGGAAAACGATAGACAGATCACAACCTAGAGTGGAATTCTGTGACATTAAGCTGATATGCCAAAGGAGTACACACCACCTTTGGAAAACAGATTCGTTTGAGCCATGCAAAATAAAAACTGTCTCCATGAATTTTATCTGCTTTTGATAATGCAAGAAAAGAGAAAATAGCCTAAACAAAAAGTAATTTTCACCTGAAATAATAATGCCAATATATACACAAATTCCAAACAGAAAAGATAAACATAATACCACAAAAAAAGGTCTTGAACTGAACGTAAGCATAGCTGTAGAGAATATAAAAGCCACCACTGTAGAGTCTGTAGAACAGATCAATCATAAGACAATTCCAATGTCAACTAATCTTCAACAATCATCTACAGAGGAGAGTAAAACAAAGAAAGAGGATCCATGTTTCCTCATGTTAGAAAGGGGGGGAAAAAATCAGTGTAGATAAAACAACATTTAACTACAAATGAAACTTCAGTATCGGCCTTGCCATTCACTCTGCCAGAAGGATTAATTGCAGACTGCAGGTGCAGAGCTAGGAGTGGTATTCCTAATTTTTTCCCCCCATTACTTAAATAATGCAACTGCTACAGGTTTCCTCTCCTTCACTTTTACAAACAACAGTATATTTAATAATTTCCACGACCATCCTTAGCAGAGGTTTTTTCCTCTCCATGGAATTAATTTGATCCTGAATTATTTCCAAACAAACAGGACTACCTTTCCCTTTCACTTCATCAACTTAAAAAAAACCTGACTAGAATGGAAGATTAAAAAGTGACTCATCAAACATTCTGAATATTCACCTGAAAAGATCAGTACAATGAAGAACACATGAGCCTAGTATAAGAAAAAAAAAAAGCAGTCACTGAATTCACATGATGATGTAAAATGAAGTTACCTGTAGGTAATACATGTATGGTGGTCTGGGAAGGTCCACTTGTTGGCACACCTGTTGTCTGCACAGGGTTTGGCTGCAAAGGTCGAGCCAAGGGCTGGGTGGGTATGCTCAGTCCTGTAACAGGTATCTGGTTCTGCTTCTTGCCATCTGCTTTAAAACAGTTACAGACAGTAGCAAACAGAAATCAGAACATCATAGAGTTTTAATTTTTTTTTTCCCCCTATCATTCACAGATTAGCAAAGAATATTTCCTAGCATGACATTTGACTTTCTCATTCCGCAAACAGAACTAGAAAAATTCATTCAATTCCCCCCCCCCCCCCCGCCATTCCATAACATTTCATTCTATCATCATGAAGTCTGTGTAGTTCAGCATAATTTGGAAACCTGAATTTAATGGAACATTATGCCAAAGTCTTTAAAAGTTTCTATTAAAAAAACAATAGCCTAAAACTTTAAAAAGGCCTAAACACTGTTGTACTCTGTTTCAAAAAAGTCATAGCGCTCCTTAAATTTTGTCTACCTCTGATGCTTACATCCTGTTACTTGCTCACTCTTTCCTCTGTTCAATCTGTTAGTCAGCCCTGTTTGTTGCTCTTTTGATTTTTCATGAGATTTTCTTAAAAAGGGGGAATCGCTTTATTATTTATAGAAAACTTTAAAGAGAGAATGTTTTCTCACACTGACACCCTCCTTGACATGACTTAGTGACTTATGAGAAGTGCCAAATAGTGTCTGTACCTGTAGTTTACTACAGCAATATTCTCTTGTGCTTTAGTTTATTTGTGACAATATAAAATATTCGAGTGCAAGTCTGTATGTGATCAAGCTTGTGCACAAGTTGAATAAAGAAGAATTGAGAAGCTTTTGCCTGGATATTTCAGCTAGGTTAGAGTAGTAGCGGGCAGAGAAGGCACCACCAAAAACTAAAAACCACAAGATAAAAGAGTAGGTTTTAAGGGCACTCATTCAAAAAAGATTTGCCCTAATAGAACTGTACATGCAGCAGCCACCAATTTACTAAGAGCACACAATATAAAAATAAAAAACATGTTAATACATACATTACTCTTGAGAAAACATAATATATTGAAAAATACATTGAAAAACTATCAAGTATACTAACTAGATTTCAAAGCATTAAGAACATGGTTAATGGCACTATAGTTCAAAATGTTAGGTTTTTTAGAAGTTGGAGACTATTTTGATGGACTCACTGAGCTGCTGTTTTTAACCAGCTACCAACAGCTTGAAGTAGCAGTACCCTTCACAAACTACTATATGATAAAATAAACAATTCAAGACCTCAAAAATAAAACACAATATAAACTGCAGACCATGTTGTCTTTCTGTAGCTACTTCAGTGAAGTAATTTGATGAAGATAATTTTCTTTTTTTCAAAATCTATAAAAGGAGCAGTACAGGGATGTTCATTTTGAAAACAGAAGGCGAGATGCTTCCTGCTTTCATCAGCTAACGTGTCTTGTGATTAGTTCAAGCTTTTCCTTTTCCATGAGAGATTTCATGGTCTTCAGCTAATTATCTGACTGAAGAGATTCCTACGGAGATGCACACACCTGTTTTCTTCGAGTATTTACAGACTGACGCACATTTCAACTGCCACTGGATAATTTAAGTGATGCAAATGCATTCTTAGTGATGACCTAGAGAAGATGTGCTCATGATCCTACTAGTCAAAACACAGACACACTATTGCTGTGTAAATGTAGTTCAAGTAAAAATGACAGACTGGACACACGTGAGGGCCTTTTTGGTTTTGCTTTTGTTTTTTATCTCACACAGAAGCAAGTTCATTTGTCCCTGATAAATCAAGAGCCCTGCTGAGGTTCCAGTTGCCGGAAACTACATCAGGAGTGCACCAGCCACAGTAAATGATGGAAGATAACCAACTAGACTTTAGTAAATAAATAGAAACAAATAGCAAAGGCTAATTTGGCTATGTAAGTGAAAAATCAGTAAGAAAAACAGGAGGACTGCATGTATAGTAAGCATAGGATTAAGGTGAAAAGTAATATGGGAACAGTTCGAATGCTAAATGAACGCAGCAACATATTCATTAAAAATGTGGACCTGGAGTAGACAGGACAACCAGATTTATGGAAATGAGTATAAAGAGAAAGTCATTACTACTGAAGGTATAAGCAAAACTCCAAATATATAAAATGGAAAAGAAGAGGGGCTAATTTCCATGCCAGAAAAATGGGCCTACAACACTACATTTACAGCAGGAAGGAGTTTTAAGCACGTTATTCACATGTGGTATAGTGCAACTGCAGAACAGCAAACATACCATACACATGTTCAAGAATAAGACAAAAAATGATCCAGAAAACTACAGATTTGATCAGATAAAACAGTTTATAAAATAAAAAACTGATACTCTATGTATTTAGTAATTTTTCCTACAAAAAGATAAATGCAAAATAAAAGTGGAACATGGCTGTGTTCAAGAGTACACTTGTGTGTCTTAGATTACAACTCCACTTTAGACTAAGGATAGGTATCAGCTAAATCTATTGACTGTTTTAGTATTTTTATGAAATAGTTTGATGCAGTGCGCTACACAAATATTTACAAAAAGGACAGGAAGGGGATTGTACAAATACTGCAAGATACTTGCAGATAGAAAAGTATCTGGATTACTTTCTGATAAAGATGACAACATTTGTTCTGAACAGAAATCAACAACAGTTTCTCAAATGCTATGCAACATTTTCATTCATAATTTCTGCACACATCAGAAGGCATGCACTAAATTTAGTTGCCAATGTACTAAACTGAAAGATGCCACCAGTATGGAGGTAGACAAATATGTCACACAGGAACAAAGCTAAGACTTGAGAACTAGAAAGTAGTAGAGAATGCAACATCAGCTATTTAGGAATTGTAAAAACTTCTACTATTAATGTGGGAAATCATGTCTGGGGCAGTGAAGATGATCAAGAAAACTTGCATATATTGTTAATTATGAAACATCTGTGCGTTGCTTGTCTGATAAAGTAGAGAGGAAATGTGAATCTAGGCTCTGTCAGGTGTTTCCACATTGTGATGGTTAGGATTTTTCTCCCTACATGAAGAACTATTTGAATGCAAACTTCGTTATGTAAAAAAAAGGGTTGGAAGTCACAGAGAAAATGTGTTTCTGTGTTGAGTGAGGTTTCAAAATGCCAATGCAACAGCTGTTGAAGGACAGCTACTCTGTTTTGTAGGAGTACTGTGTCCAAACCCAGTGGCTCAAGCACATGATTAGAGGTCCTAAATACCCTGACACTAGAACAACCAACCAAAAAACCTCACCCTAAAAACCAACCAAACAAAAATACCCCACCCTCAAAACATGATTAGCCCTTAAAAGTAATGCATAGGGTTTTGCCTGTTTACCATCACTGAAGACTGGACTTATACATCACTGCAGGTGTGCTCTTCCATGACTCAATACAGAAACTCTGATTTCAGTTTAATAACGTCACAAAAACATCTAAACATCTACAAATTCCATAGTTCCATAGTTCTTAACTTAAAGTCATTTTGTGTACCTATAAATCTGTAACAAAATAAAACTTGCTCTACATTTGCTGGAAACAAAGTGCAGTGGAAAAACTATTTGGCCAAAGGTATATACATGTATATGATTATGCAAAAGCGGTGAGAAATGTACTCTTCTTTTTTTTAACCTTAATGTTACTATCAGAACATGTGACTTATTTCCCAAGAAACCTGCTCAAAATCCTAGAAACGTGTTTCCAGTGCATGGTGAAACTCAAGCTTTTATTAGGGTTTTAAGTCCATACATTTCTACAGCTTATATGAAAAATGCTGACTCCTCTCACAAACTCTATCTGCAAGGCTGCAGACTACCAGGGAGACTCTGGCTTCTGGTCTGCAGTGAAGAGACACTCAGGAGCTAACCAATGCCTGAAAGCACCCCACTAACCTTCCTCCTAACGAAAGGACAATTTTCTAAAACCTCACAACTAGAGAGAAAGAAGCTTAGAATATACCACAGGAGAAAATGGTAAGATACTGGCTCAAGCTCCCAAAAAGAAACTGAGAAAGAATGAACTTAGTATACCGTAACGCAGCTACAATTCTGCCGTGGCTGCTAGCGCTTCTACTTAGAGAAGCGTTCTTATAGTTATACATGCAACCATGGTTGGTGTCAATCTTTTATGGTAACTGAGATGAAGACATACTTTATGCAATCAGGGAGGAAAAAAACTTCTCTGAAAAACATTACTTTTGATAGAAAAAGATTAGCTAAAATATATTACAATACTGTGACATGCTACTATATACATACTATAAAGCCATTTAGATCTGTTGGTCTTTTACAGAATATTAAATAGGACTGGGAGCTTAACCTTACCTGACAAATTTCCACAGTGCAAGTGAAACCATTTTTAAAAATCCTTTTAAGAACCAACTCTTGGAAGAGATTACAGTAGTAAAAACTTGATTCCCTATGCTATTCTGACACTCAGCTAAGCAATGCACAGAATCATCAAAATCCTGGCCGGAAAGGACCTCTTGAAGCTGGATTGTCACCAACACTATTCAAATGAGTTGTTGTTTTGCTCAGCTGATTCTTGAGAACATTCAAGAGTGGAGTTTCTACAACCCCTCTGTGCTGCACTACTTTCCTACTGTGATTTCTTTTCTCCTCAAGCTCAGCTTGAGCCTCCTGAACTTGTAGTTCATGGCCATTGCCCCTTGTATCATCTGGCACTGCTGAGAAGAGTTGAGCTCTGTAATCTTTGTAACTATTCTCCAAGTAGTTGGAGCAGCAGGCTCTCAGTTTTTCTCTTTGCCAAACATGCCTGTTGATCTCATAGGTCATGCACTCTAGGCTGCCACCATCCTGACAGCATCTATTAGGCCCTCTCCAGTGCTACCACAAGTCTTCTGAACTCAAATAAGGGGGAGTCAAAACTGGACACTGTATTTTAGGTCTGGCCCTGCTAGTGTCAGTGTGGGGGGAATACTGACTTACATCAAATGAGAACATGCTGTTGGCTCATACTCAATTCCATGTCCACCATACACCCTCCAAGAACCAGACTGTCAGCTATCTGAATTGTATCATGCTTCTCTAATGCCTTATACCACAGGCACTCCCCTTTCGGTGGTAACATTCCATTTCTTCCTCACGAAAGAAACGCTACCACATGCCAATGTGATTTTCTATATTTGCATAATACAAATACAGAGCAAATCAAGCTAGTAAGAATGTTATGTGTAGAACTTGGACACACTAGCTAGAGATAGCTACTGAGGTTGTCTAGAGGAAACAAAAGTTCTTGGTGGCTGGACTTCAGAATGCTGTTCAGAGCCATGCATTTAGAGACCATGCAGAACTAAAATTTTATCTCTAACAGTAGAAATATAATTTTTTCAGTTAAGAAGAACATGTATTGTCCTGCTGTAAGTATAGACTCTTATTACTTATCTGAAATACTGTAATTCTTCATAATCCAATGCTAATTATAAATTGCCTACAGTTATGCAAGACTTATAAAAATGTGTTCTTTTAAAAGATAAAGCGCATCCAAACTGCCAAAAGATGTAAAAGTACAACTATATTTACCCTAATCTTGGCATACAGCCCCAAAGCAAAGAACAGATCTGCATTTGGTATTGAAACTTTTGCACACAAAGTTTTTCAGTTAAACAAATGATCAGAAGCTGTAGTAATCTAATGCCTGAATACCAACTCTAGAATTAAAAGGTCTTTAATTATCAATAAACAGAAAAATGATACTAGAAAAACTTCCCAAAAGATAACGAAGAATTCAAACAAATTATTCCCCAAGCCTAACAGATTTAAGCACAGACACTAACAATGCTTGAATTAAAGGAAAAGTAAAAATCTTAAAGACTGTTTTACAGCAAGTATGATTCCTTTTCTTTAATGCTTATTGGAATTCTTCAACAGCAGTCCAGTTTAACTGAAACACCAAGGAATAAAATACACCAAGCAGAAACAGATCATTCCTTTGTCATTCACAGGATTAACTAATACTTGTAGCTCAATTACGCCTGTAGTTAGCAAAATCTTTTTCACCTACCTTGAGAAGAGCCATCATCCTCTTCATCCAGTGTAAGATCAATGACACCTCCTGAATCACTTCCTGTGACCTTCCCGCTCTGAAAGACAAAACTCTTTCATTTTGCAAAAGCAAATCCAGGGAACACAGGAGGAAAAAGGATACGAATGGAACATTCAGAAGAAGACGTCTCAGAATTGATACACTTATAAGAAAGGAACTAATGAAATGAGCAGGAGGAGGAAATTTCAGACAAATTTCGCAGGACTTGCAAACCAGTATGATACTGCGGTATCAAATACTCAAGTATTTTTAGCTTTGTAAGGAAAAAAAAAGCCTGAAGACCAGTAACATATTGTTATTTTACACGTAAATAAATAACAATTTGGTATCTTTCGATTATGACAACATTTTAATCCATTGTAAACTGTGCTTTCTGCTATAATAGTAAAACCTTTTGACAGAGCAGTTACCAGGGCAGTGTATTACTTATCTTGAGACAGCCTGGCCTATGTGCCTATAAAGAAATTGACTTCACAGTAAGAAAAAGGGAAAGCTACACTTGAACCTGTATGCTGATAAAACATGTCATCAAAAGCCATTAGAAACTTCCAACTGTATCCATCTTTTTAAAGTAATTTCACTACTGTATTTTAATCCATTATCACAAACTTTAGCATCCTATTCTACATATGAAGCCATTTCTAATCATCTCTTTAGAGAGGATAAAGGGATCTTTTAAGCTATTGTGAAGGCTAAATGCTATAAAAAACCCCAGAGTTCCATCAAATCAGATTTATCTTCTGGATCAATTGCTGTCCCCTGGCTGTTCAGACCAACACCTTCCTTTAGGTGACCATAAAAATACTGGGGGAGGTCCTATATATTTCTGTGTTTTAAAATATACTTTCTAGAAAAAAATCTTGCACAATGTCAATTTGTAGTTCCTTAAACTTGCTGGAAAAAAATTGGATTTTTTATTTGTTCTGTGTAAGTGCTATTGGTTTATGGATTAGAGTAAACCAGGTTCCTTAGGACAGACAAAGTGTTAGGAGAGCAACATGATCATCAGAATCTGTGAACGATTAACATGGGAAAAAGTTTAAGAGTTATCAGCCCCACACGGCCTGTACAAATGCCAACATGGTAAATGCTAGGCAGATTAGAGATTTTTCTACGCAGTCAGACGGGGACAGATGCAAAAAACCTAAGCATTGAGATTACCTACTCTATGACCTTTCATTTGGGTAAAACTAAGCCTTCAAGAGGGTCCTGAAGACAGTTCTCACACAGGCAAGGCTTTGACGAGAGGGAAAAGAGCTATTATATAATTACTAAGTGCAAACAAAAGCTGTGTCCAAATTATCTGTTACGGTATTTGGAGTGCCTGACACAACTAACCTCTTCATTATACATTATTACAACCCGATTTCTTGCCTTAAGTTCTGATTCTGCCACTGATTTAATTCTGCTACTAACCTACATGATACACAATTTGATTAAGTAATATCTAACTACTTAGGTTCACAGGCAATAGAAGGTCTTTGCTATACATTGAGAAACATCTTTCAGATTTATTAACCATGGAATTCTGTTGAGCAATTTTTATTTCAAAGACCTTCCAGCTTCAGTTTTCTTAGTATGATGATATGATCTATCCATGTGAAGCTTAACATAAAAGGCACATTTAAATTATCAATGATTATTTGATTAGCAGAAAGTCATGAGGAATTTCATTCCAACTTGGTAATTTTCCCAGTCAGCGATGTTTATTTTGAACTATGGCATGCTCTGCCAGGAGAAAGCAGATTGAAAAGTGGAGGGGGAGATTTATAAGGAACTGGAACACTAAGCTATTCACTTCTCCCCACTACAAAATACATTAGTCTGAAGTAATTTCAAATTTTCCTTCACAGGGATATCTAAATCCTTAGAAAAATACTCTGTATGAGTGCTAACTATTTTGCAGCCCTGCTTAACTGTGCCAGTCAAGAAAATTCTCTGAACTTCCAAGTCAGCAGGTGTCACTGCATGGATTTTTTTCATACTTTAGCATGTCTGGAAGGCCAAAATCTTGTGTTAGTTAAGCAGGCAACTATTAAATGATAAATCCAATCAGCCAATAAGGTCTCATATATATACTTCTCAGGAGGAGACCTTCTTGCAGTTAGCCATGATATTCACAGATCTGCAGGGCAGCGTTTTCAGTGGTGCTCTGTGGTACATCCCCCAGTCCTAGTTCCTGGGCATACATTTCAGCTCTCAAAGATGCTGTAGCCAACACAAACACACAAGTCCTGACTCCCCAGCCTTTCAATCTAGATTCCCCTAGTTCATTAAACATGCATCTCCCTTGAATGAAATTTAGGGGTACAGGAAAATTTAAAAAAATCCTGAAACACTGAAAAATGCTGCACATTGTGTTTCCTACCTAGGGGGCATCCCCACACAGAGCAGACTGCTAATTATGCCTGCCAAAAAGGTCAGGATTTTAACTATTCAGAGCACCCACCTACATTCAAAAGGAGAAGTATTAATTTCGATATCCTCTTAGTGTCGGCACACAGTTTTCAGATACTTGAAGGTATCTCAAATCCAGGAGAGAAAAGGGAGATTCAGGAAGAACTGGGAATCAGGTATTAGAAGACTGCTTCACACTACTTTCTCATGGTGAAATTAAGCATCTCTATGATCTCAGAGAGCAGCTTTATCACCCTATCCCAGATGCTTCTGGAGTATTGTCACTTACCACCTGAACGTTTAAGACCTACAAATGTAACTATTTGGAATCAACTCTGACAAAAAGCAAGTAATAATGGTTTTCAGAAAATCCTGTGTCCAACCCATCAAGCAAATAAACACAGCCTTTTGAGTATCATGACTATTTTACTCATAAATTCTCTCAGGGAAATTTTTGTTGCTACAAGGATTTGTGAAAACTCCAGTTTACAACACAGATATGTTTGAGGAAAAGATAAGAGAGAAAAAACCTGCTATTGCTTCTGTGAAAAGAACGGAATATGATTCTGAGGAGTCTGCCATGTCACACATCAGAATAGGACATTCAGATGTGCTGCTCTGAGTAAAATTAGAAACCACCTTAAGAAGGCCTGCAGCCCTGATGAAGGCAAAGGGAAGCCTGACATTGGACTTTCAGTTATGTATGAACAGTATTTACATTTATGTCAAAAACTGAAATAAGAGAACAAGTCTCTCAGCTCCTAATATTAGATTTCATCAAACATCTGGGCAGAAACTGGTGATGTAGAAAAGCAAAGACAAGGCACTCTGGTCCGCTACCAGTTTTCAGCTTTCTCCAAACACAGGAAGCCAAGAACCTGAACCTGCTTCAGCTGATCTCTGCAGAAGAGCAAGATGATGCAATCATAACACCTCTTAATCAGCACAGTCACACTAGTAAAATAATGAAAACCAAAACATGTCTGGTGGTTTAGTTCATATATTGCCTTGCAAGTCTGAGTAACAGAAGATTCAATTGCCTTACAATATCTAATAAGCTGGAACAGAAACAAAATAGTCACAGCAATACAAAGTGATCTCTACTCAAAGATTACTTATAAAACCCCCAAAGCAAACAAAACCACAACTCCCCAAACCACCATTTCATCATTTGTCAGAACCAGAGCACCAGTCTCCAAACAGACCAGAAACAGCACTTAAATCTTGATTGTTTACAACAGCATCTGGGTAGTTTCTAGTAGTCAAACAGAAAAAAGTTTACACTGAGATTTGAAAGAAATGTTAACTGCCAAACTACCTTTTCCATCCTTCTCACACAGATATCTTAATTCTTTAAACTGCACATATCTTCAGCCTTTAAACTGCAAGTTAGTACAAATCCTCTGAAATACTGCCATTCACACTACCATTTTGGACCTGTTTTACCCACAGCTGATGAGATTAACTGTACAACCTGGAAGAAGCAACATCATGAACTGAACCATCCAGTTAACCACAACTGTACCTGAGCTGTCTTAGTTTAAATCTTTCTCTGTTTTCATATAGCAGCCAGCAGTTTAACAATCTTCACCACAAAACAACGCAATGAAAAAATCAGATTAAAAATGGAATTAAAAATTACACCTAACAAACCCTACTCTGAAATGTCACAGTTTTAAAGATAAATGTGAAGAAAAATTTTAGGAAGAAAGCAAGAAAAATACAAGACTTCATCTTTTCTTGACTTCCTAATTTTAGTATAGCCACATCTTTATCCTTCATCTGGCTGGTGAACTTCCATTTGCAACTAAGATGTTTTGCATAAAAATGATGTGTCCTGTAACTGAACATTTCTTAATGAAATCTAATGTAGATCCAGCCCAAAAGATGCATGCAACTTCGAGTTGAAAAGCAAACACTAAGTGAAGTAGGGGAAGAGGACTGCAAAGTATGATCAAGAGGAGAAACAAAGGTGGAAAAAGGAAGCAGAAGGGGGAAAAAAAAGCAGCAGGGGAAAAGAGGATTACAAATCAAGCAGCAGCCGAGCACGCAACACCACAAATATGGAAGGATGGTGTGAGTGTACTGTGATGCTACTCTACTATTCTTATTCAGTGTTGTGTGTTCTTCCTGAAACAGCCAGCTAAGGAGAAGGCACTGCACATTTACAACCTTGATCTGTTTTGAAAAGTCTGTTCATTAAAGAAAATCTTGCCAAATTGCAGGCTCTCTGCCCCAGCTTCTTCAGTTTGCAAAGTCATGTTCACACTTAGTGCATTTACCGATATGTAATTATCCCTAGGCATGTTTGCATGCCAAATGCCCCAGGCAAGCATCTAACTTAGCAAGTGTGAAGGAAAAGTATTTTAATGCCAAGCACAACTTGGGAAACAGCAACTGAAAAACCCTAGAAGAGGGGCAAAACCAAGAGAGTAAATCCTCATCTGAGTGAAACCCACTAAGTCCTGAAACAGAGGCTAAGTCATAACCTCTTCTAAACACCTCTTTATTGGTTAAGCGCAAACTGTGCTAGTCTATGGAATATAAAATAATGAAAAGTATGTATAAAATGAACTGCAACTATTCATTTCGTTCATTTTTCTCAGTACCAGAAATTGGTATTTCTAAGTGTTCTGCTAGCTACAAAACTTTTAC